TAAGAGTCAAAACTTGTCTGAACTCTCAATAGAATTGATTTCAAATATATGTATTAAGGAATTATATATATATTGAATATTACTATTTAAAAGTACATACAATTTAATTTAATTTTCACACACTAAAAATAGGAAAAAAAACCCTTTGTTATACATACCTCCCATTTCCACTGCTTGACTTTCCTGATTCTGATTTTTCTTTGCTAATTTTTTTTGAGGCCCTTCACAAACAGATGATATAGCTCAAGGGTTTTTTTTCGGCTTTTTTGGTTTTCCAGCATTCTAGTTTAACTAAATTAGCGCCACACATGCGTAACTAATTTAGATTTGGTTAAAATTAACTCGGAATACGAAGACGAAGGCAAAAAACATTGCAGTCAAGGGGAAACAAAAAAAAAAATCTATGTATATAAATGAGGTAGCTCAGGGGCGTCGCCAGAGAGGGGGACACGGAGGAGAGTGGGGGCTTAACAAGCGGAAGACGATTTAATGCATACAAAATGATTTACACGCCGCTGGCCAAAGATAATACGAAACCTGGGTCTTCTCATGGTAGACGGCAGGTTTTATTTTTTACCGGAGGATGCACGCATGCATCCCTTCCCCTTCCCCTTCCCCTTGTCCTTGCTTACTGCTGCTGTCAGCTGCCGGGGCATATATCCCCCCCTTGTCGCACCCCCCTCACATGCCGCAGCTGCAACACATTCGTCCACACTTGCAGCAGGCTCCAGCGACTGCCGTGCCCCTCCTGCAGTGTGCCCCTGTTTTACAGCTGGGCTTCATATAATCAGGCAGCGCTGAAAAGTATGCTACACTTTTTGCCCCCAATGGCTACACTGGAAGAAAGAAACTATGGCATATAGATATAATAAATATTTGCAAGAAAATAATGGGGAAATTTTAAAAACGTTTTCTCGAAGGAAGCTTTGTATGGTATAGATTTAACCTTAAAATAAGTGTTAATACAAGAAGGGAAAAATAACTTTGGGAAGACAAGACCTATATAGCCTTGAAGTTTCCAATTGAATTATAGAATTAGGTCGGAAATCCATTATAACTAAACTTAAAATATTCGCATTCTTTGAATCAACATTTATTGATAATTTTATATGACTAATTCGTCAAGAAATCAAAGTTTAAAAAACTCATAACTAAGCTAAAAATTCATTAATTTTAATTCGGAAAGCAGTTCAAAGTTAGTTTTCATCTGGAAAGTAAATCTGCATACTCAATTTAACATTTAAAAAAAATCAAATTTTTGACAATTTTTGAACATTTTAACAATGTAACTCCTTACATTATTTTCAAAAAATTATAAAAAAAAAATAGATTTTTGCCTAAGATAGCTAGAAAGATTCGCCTGTTAATGCTGATCAAGAATATATATAATTTATAGGGTAGGAAATGACTCATTCATAGCATTAGACGCTTCTGACTTTAAATTGCTGACTATATATTACGTATACGTACGTATACGTAATTATTCGAAATAAAAATCCCTGAAATAAAATATAAAGCATATATACCCTTTCAGTTTGCAATTAAATTATAGGATTGAATCGGAAATTGATTATAACTACGCTTAAAATATTTGCATTCTTTGAATCAATATTTATTGATATTTAATACGGTAATTTTTATGATAAAATCAAAATTTCAAAAACTCATAACTCAGCCAAAAATGCATTAATTTCAATTCAGAAATCGTTCCTATGTTAGTTTTTATCAGGTTAACAAATCTGCATACTTTATTTAAAATTATAAAAAATTCAAATTTCTGCCAAATTTTGAAAAATTTCATGAAAAATTTCATTTCTTTTTTTCCGAAAAATGGGAAATTTCTGAAAAAAATTTTTTTCTGCCGGAGATGGCTAGAAAGATTCTCCTGTTGATGCTGATCAAGAATATATATGATTTATAGGCTGAGAAAAGTCTCCTTCACAACATTAGAAGCTTCTGACTATAAATTGCTGACTATATATTACGTATACGTAATTACGTATACGTAATTATTCGAACTATAAATGCCTGAAATAAAATAAAAAACGGAAAGGAAGCTAACTCGGATATGACTCCTTCACACGATTCAAAGCTTCTGACTAGAATTATGATATCATTTTCCATTTTCTCTATACCTTTAAGTACATTAAGAAAATAATGTTTCTTTCAGTGCATAAATAGCTCGCATTCGCTCACTCTGCCAGCTTGCATTTCAAAGCCTGACAGGCCATCAAGCTGAAATCTCTGATGATACGAAATCAGCATAAACAACAACAACAACAACAACAACAAGGGGAACATGGGGCCAAGTAGGGTTAAGGGGTGTTGTTGGAGGCGAAAGCAGAGACGGGGTGGGGGGTTTATGGCACAAAAGCAACAGCAAATAGGGTTAACAGCCAGTGCAATTTTCATATTACCAAGCTTTTCGAAAAACTGCAGGCGATTTTAACCGCCCAGCCATGCCGCGCCACGCCTCCTTTAACCCCTTGTGGGCTTCAAAGTTCGTTGAACGCATTTCGAGGTGATAGCAATTTTTTGCAGATATTTTTTCGAGCCGCGTTTTTAACACGATTTTATATAGGCTTTGCACGAGTTAATAAATATGAATATATTTATTTAAAAATTCTTACTATAACTACTTCTTGTTGAAATGATTTGTTTTGCTTTTACAAAAGTATGCTGCAAAAATGATGACTCCTTTTTGGCACCTCTTCCATGGGATTTTGCAGTGCATTTTCTTGATATTTTTTAATAAGCGCCTTGTGCACACAAAAAAGAGACAAGGGGGAGAATGGTTAGATGGTTAGATGGTTTTCTCAAAATGCAGTGCATTAAATGGGAACCGGAAAACGGGACTCGTGTGATTTGGCCAAAACTGCATGCTCACCATGCCACGCCCCTGGGTCCTAGTTTTGCCCCCCGAATATGCAGAGAATGAAAATGCAAAATTGACAAAGCCAAAATGCTTTATATATAAGCACACATATTGTTTAGATCCATTTGCAGCGAACAAGGACGAGGCGATGCTCTGAAGCTGAAGCTGAAGCTGAAGCTATTGCCGAGGAAGAAGACAGAAGTCAAGCAAAGATGTTCCGCAGCCGAGCAAAGGGGAAAGAGACTGGCAAATATGGAGAGCGAGATGGCCATATGCCATTAAATCTCTTTAGAACTCAATTCTTATTCCCAACGCAATTTATACAACAAAATTTCGCACAGACTCAGGCACAAAATCTTGCACATAACACACACAATACACACAACATATGCACACACACATAGCAGCCACACACAGATGCATGCACAGTTGAACTAACAACACTGTTTAAGGACGAAGCTAAAGGAATTAAAGTGCGATTTTGGGTTGTACCTGTAATACTCTTAGTTAGCGAATTCAAAAGAAAATATTTCCATCTAAGCATTTCACAAAAAAAGTAACATTAAATGAGGATTTATTAAAATTATTATTATAAGAAAAAGATATAGAAATTAGTTTCAAATTAATCGAGCATCCAACGGAATTATTTAATAGTTTCTGGCATATTCTTGCAACATTAAACATATCGTTTGAAGTTTTCTATGATATATTTTGTTAAATTTATAAAAGTAGTATACATTTTATTATTATATTAATATATGTATGCATACACTATAAAATATAATAAAATATACATCAAATTAAATATATAAATATAAATGTATATTAATACTATTATATTAAATAATATATTAGTATACATTAAAATTATTTAATATATGAGATCCGAATTAGATCATATTTTTTAAATACAATTGATTTTATATTAAATTTTATTAAGGTAAATATTACTTGCCAAGTCTTTAAGGTTTTATAATAATATATATAATGTTTTGCTTTATTTTTCAGACAAAAGATATATATACATCAAGCATATGTAAAATATAAACCGTGGAAAAAGTCCTCCATATGGTAGGGTATACATATGTTTAAAGCCGACCCCGAAAAAGGAGTATGGAACAAAAAAAGTTTGCAGCAAAAAGCAGCAGAAGAAAGAAGGCAAAACGAAAAATTGAAGAGATGCAGCACAACAAAAGCGCCACCTTTGCTCCACCGCTCCTTCCCCCTCTCTCACCATTCCCCTCTACCTCCTCCTGCCTCTCTTTCTTTCTCTCTTTTCCCCTCATCCGTGGCTCTCTTGTAGACCGAAAACTAGCGTGACATATGGAGCGGAATAGAAAATAAGCGCACGTCAACTGCATGACACAAACACATAGAAAACACACGACGCGACAAAGCCGAAAAAATATGAGAAACAAAACAAAAAAAAAAAAGACAGAAAACGAGAATATAGAAACAGGGAAAAGAACGGGACAACTAAAAGGCGGAGGAAGTGAGGTGCAAAGGAGCGGAACGAGAGGACAAAGGAGGCGCCCGAAATGAAGTCCAAGTGGAGAGTGTATAAAAATGGAGCAAAGTCCTGGACCATATTTATATTTTTTGGCACACTCAGAAAAAAAGGATGAGAGACAGAACATAAAAAAAACAACAACAAAAGGTGTGCATGCACACCACGAAAAGAACTGTGAGTATGTGTGTGTGTGTAAAGATCTTTAATAAAAGCAACGTAGCAAGGATGCAATGCAAGGGCTGAGCAAGAGATTAACAATGGCGAAAGGATGCAAAAGGCAATGAGAGATGCAAACTTGACTTTTGTTAATAAATGAAGTTTTGCCGACAATTTATTCCAAAACTTTACTTGCTTTCACCTTAATTAAATTCATCAAAAAACAATTTTCAAAACGGAGCCAAAAATTACAAATGCATTGGCGCTGAAATGTATGCTATAGAAAAACTTGTTCTGCCATCTTTTTGTGGCAACTTAATTTAATCAATAAATAATATTTCAGTTTTTAATTGGTCCAAAATTGTGTTAGGGATCCAAATAATAGATTTTTTTTTTTTTTTATATAATCTTTTATTAAGTGTAGTAAATAATAGATTGTCTCGAGAAACAGTAAGCCATGACATCTTAGCAACCTTTGTGTTAAAAGTTGTATTAGTCTTAATATTCAATTTTGTAGCAAAAACATTACCTAAATTCCGAACTGTAAAAATTACATTTAATGAAAAAGTCGCGATGTCCAATATACTAAAATTTTGATCATTTCTCTTTGATTAGTTCCAGGCCTGCCTCCAGCATCTACAAATCAAGGACTTCGTTGCCGAATACATCCTAGACAAGCATGGGATAAGTGTCTGCCCATGGATCCAGACCATAATATCGTATGTCGACCCACTTGTGACTTATTATGCCCTCAATTTGTTTCTCCAGAAAGTCAAAACTTTAACATTTATCCTTATAGTCCATCATCGTCAGAATAATGGTTGCCGATATGAAAAGTAATCGATGAAGAACACCGCCGAGTGAGGTTGTCAAATTATACTGGTATTTATAACACAAACAAGCCAGTTGAATCTTAACACACGACCACCATTTTCCACAGAATTCGTCCAGGAGCCAGGATCATCACTGCTTATTATCAAGGCCAGTCGACGGTCCTTGGGCAAGGAAGGCGATCATATTCCTTGAACGGGTCATTCAGACAGAATTGGTGTAACGGGTCGTGGCACTTCAGCAAAGCTTCCGAAAAATTTGATACTGGATTTATTTTGTACCAACGATTCCAAAAATATTGTATACTATTGAAAAAAAAAAGAAAAAATAAGTGTTAAATTAACTGACAAATTTGAATTTGAATTCAAATAGCCGATCAGTTGCCGCCACGTTAGTAAAACGAAACATTTGAATTCAAATTCAAAGACCGATAATTTCCCGCCAACAAACCCAAATTTGTAATTGATCTAGCTTGATCAACAACATCTATTTTACAACAACAAATCTTGAACAACAACATAAGACAATAAATATATTAATTTAACTGTCAAAATATATATTCAAATTTAAATAAGCCGTCAGTTCCCGCCATATCAGTTAACCGACAAATTTGAATTTGAATTTAAATAGCCGATCAGTTGCCGCCAAGTTAATCGATAAATTTGAATTTGAATTTGAATTTAAATAGTCGATCAGTTGCCGCCAAGTTAATCGATAAATTTCGATAACAAAAAGTTTCAGGTATGGTCACACTACCTGAAAGATTTTAAGTGAAAAAGGAGCTGGTATGTACAACAACAGTATGTACACAAAAACAACTGCTGTTGTTGTTGTTGTTGTTGTTGTTGTTGTTGTTGTTGTTGTTGTTGCTGTTGTTGTTGTTGTTGTTGTTGTTGTTGTTGCTGTTGTTGTTGTTGTTGTTGTTGTTGTTGTTGTTGTTGTTGTAATGTGGGTTGTTGTTGTTGTTGTACATACTGTGCAAATCGTGCGGTTGTGTGTTGTACATACTGTGAAATCGTGCGGTTGTGTGTTGCCAAGGCAAGCCTTCGATGTGCTCGGTGTCACTTAATTTTCGGCCTGAAATACCAGGCGAACAGAAGGCAGCAGCAAGCAAATTTAATTTTCTGCAAAATCATTTTTCACCCTAAAAGCATGCTACACCGCACCCTGGAAGTATGCTACACTTTTTATTGTACTGCATACTTTTGCATATTTTTGGCATTGCATGCTTTTGGGGGCAAGGTGTAGCATGCTTTTAGGGTGAAAAATGATTTTGCAGAAAATTAAATTTGCTTGCTGCTGCCTTCTGTTCGCCTGGTATTTCAGGTCGAATTTTAAGTGACACCGAGCACATCGAAGGCTTGGCTTGGCAACACACAACCGCACGATTTCACAGTATGTACAACACACAACCGCACGACTTGCACAGTATGTACAACAACAACAACAACAACAACAACAACAACAACAACAACAACAACAACAACAACAACAACAACAACAACAACAACAACAACAACAACAACAACAACAACAACAACAACAACAACAACAACAACAACAACAACAACAACAACAACAACAACAACAACAACAACAACAACAACAACAACAACAACAACAACAACAAAAACAACAACAACAAAAACAACAAAAACAACAAAAACTTCAAAAACATCTATTTTACAAGAAAAACATATCCTTTAAAAACAACAAAAACTCTTTGAAAACAACAAGAATTTACAATTTACAATAACAAAAGACAATAAATGTATTAATGGTCGAATTGCTTGCAGATTTGTTTCATTCCGGATGGGAAAAGTATTGCTTTTGTAGAGATGTTATCGTATAATAATTGTTATTGTTATTATGTGGTTGTTGTGGGCAGTTTTTGTGTGTTGCCAATTTCAAGGATGTAACCCCTAAGCAACATTTTAATTCCCAAATTTTGTACATACACAGTAAATTAATAGTATTTTTTTATTGCATATTTCCTGATATTATTCGCAGATTTATAAAGATTTTTTTTACATTTATTTTGTTTTCCAGTTATTATTATTTTCTGTGAGCAGAACAGCGCCTGTCACCTCAACAAGGAAATGGAGAATGTCGAGGACATCAAGTCCCCTAGCTTTTCTCCACTTTTTCCCTTTCTCTCTCTCTTTATTATTATTTTATTAATACATTTTAGATAAAAAATAATACGATTTATATATATTTGTATACATTTATTATTCTCTGTGTATATGTTAAGCCTGTGTGTGTGTGTTCCTGTCCTGTGAGCTGCTACCAGTTGTTGCTTCTGCTTGCCGTCGTTTTGTTTTTGTTTTCAGTTTGCTTGGCTGGTTTGTTTGTTTGCTTTGCCGCCTGTCCTCGTTGCCTCGTTGAATCCTGCTCCTTTCACAACCAATTCTTCGATCCTCCTCTTGCTCCTTCCTCCTTGGTGACCATGTCAGGGCTTTGGCCAACATTGCATATTTCAAGGGGCCAGTCGTAATGATTATACAGCATTCCGCATGACATGAAGAGGTTCGCTTCAGTCTCCATCGTCGCAACCAAAAACACACGAAACACTGACGGCAGACATTAAGGTACCACCCTAAGGTCCATCACCTTAAAGAGGGCTCTGAGGCTTCAATTGGATCTGAAATTATAGATAGTTGGAATATAATAAAGTATTATAAGGATAGTGTAATTTTTGGTGGGGATTGTTTGGGGAAATACAATATAAGAGAACAGGAATAAGCTAGAATATTTTATTAAGATTTTCTATGAAATTATAATATTAATATTATTAATATTAATATTATTATAATATTGTATTAATTATATATTAAATTAAGACCCACGAATATTTTATTAATGATATTTCATCAAAATAAATTTTTTTTAGGCTAAAAAATATTTAATAAAGATTTACCATGATCCTAATTGTCACATATATATTGTATTTAATAATAAAGTATATTATATAAGGATTTTCCAAAAGAAACTGTTGCAAAATCATAAATGAAATGTTAAAGGCAGTTTAATGCATATTTTTGTGCTGTTAATATCCTTTGATTCCTGTTCTCCTGCGGCAGCGAATTAATTTCGAGCCAATATATATATATATTTATTTATATATACATATATCTCCGTCAAGGCCTTGAGCACATTTTTCACCAAATCTTGTTAGTTTGGGATGATTGGGGAGGAGGCTTCGTGGCGCGTCAACATGATTAACGCTTTATTATGGAACTGTGCAAAAGGGGATTGTGGGGGACATATATAACATTTAATATATATGTATACACTCGCATCCTTATGCCATTGCCGGCACTTCTGTTTGTTTTTCTTTGCTCAATTCTCCGGCGCAAAAATAAATGTGAATACTTTTTTATAATTAATTGACACATGTGTGCACCGGGGCACCAGCAATCCTTCCTGCGTCCCATTCGCCTTTATCCTTTGGGTTAAACTGCGCAAATAATTAAACTAAAGGCGTCTGCTCAGCAACGGAAATCGCTGTCAATTCATTTTGCCGCATTTTAAATGCTGAAAAGTAATTTGAAAAAAGGCGCAGCAAAAGAAAAAAGAACTGGAAAAAAAGTACGAAATAACGAAACATGTAAGGATCGAAAGGATAACAGGGGAGAGAGAGTGATTCTGTATGTGTGTGTGGCTCGCTGAAAATTTATTGTTTTTGCCATTAGCGCTGCGCAAATGCTGGGGAAAGTCGGACAAAAAAAGTGGCGGGGGCGGAAAATAAAGGTCTTTGCCAGAATTGATGTCGATGAGTTTTCGTTAATGTGCGAATATTTATTAAAAGGAATTGGCGTTTCGGACAACAACAAAAAAGAAAAAGAGAACCACCAATCGAAGCTGGTTAATTGAAATAAAGCAAACAGAAAGGGATAAATAAAAACTTAAGTTTACGGCAAGGGATGCCAGAATATATATGGAGAATTTTCAGTTAAAATCAATTCGAGAAAGGGTATTATATATAAACATTGATAGCGAAAGATACTATTAATATATAGTACCAAAAATGTTAATTATTATCAATATATGTGTTTTTATATTTCTTTAAATTCCATTTGCCTATTTAAGAAAACTAAATATACTTAAAAAATATTAAGAAACTGTTTAATTAAGACATAACTTATGTATAATAGTAAAAGAAAATATGTTAATTAAATGATTTGATAAACTTCAATGGCTTGATAGTTTAATATAAAAAACTAATCAAATAAAATTCCAATTTAAATAGAATAATTTCTATAAATATATATATATTTCTAAACTTCATTACATATAGGAAAAATAAGATGAAATAATATAGAAATACCGTACTTATTCTTACTTTTAAATCACTTCTCAGACCCCTCAGTTTCAATTACCTCCCATTGAGGCAACTGTGCGCTTTCCCCCATTTTGTAATATTTTGTTCTTTTTTTGTAATGTCTGCCTGGGATTTTCCCATTTTCATATTTGTGTATAAATTTGTTCGCCAACTCTCTTTCTCTCTCTCTCACTTTGGCCGCTGCTCATTAGCCGCTTGTCCAGTTTTGCTCATTTGCCTGGCCATTAACCGGCTTCAACTTCAACTGCAGTTCAGCAATGCCAGCCTCTTCGCCCCTCCGCTCCTCCGCCTTGCCCCCTGGTTAACCCCCTTCCTGCCGGACTGGACGCTTTAGCCCTTAACCCTTTGGCGCCCGTTGCTGACCCAAAAACTTTTGCCACTTGCCGGCCATTGTTGTCGTTTCAGGGTAAAAAAAAAATGAAAGAAAGAAATCCAGAAATGGGCGGGAAAATATCGAGGGGAAACTACAGCAATTAAACACTGGGCGTGCGAAAACTTTAAGGCGGTGCGGGGGGCGTGGCAGCACAGAAAGAAAATGATGCATCTAATTAATTTTAATTTAAATTTCGATCAAAGTTGTTCCTTCTATCTGTTAATTAAATCTGTTCATATTGATCAACGCATTGGGTTTTTATTCCGCACTATATTAAAAATATTACTTTAATTTATTAATAATTAATTACTTTTATTAATTATTAATAAATACCTATTATTGATTATTAATGAATTACTCTTTTAAACGTTAATTGTCTTGCACTTTTATATTCTGTAACTATCCGAAGACTTCATTTTGTCTAAAATTGATTTTTCATTTTATTAAAATCTGTTCACATTGACTTAATTGATTTAATTAAAATCCACTGAGCCCACACTAATTTTTAAATATCATTGTAATTATATTCAATAACACTTAATTAATTGATATATTTAGTTACTTAACTTTAACTATTCTTAGTGCTTTATTCTTAAACTGGTACTTTCACCTACAGCATATTAAGTATACGCCACGTTGGTCACACAATATTTTAATATCTTATCGCTTCTTATAATCTCAAAATACCAAATTATTTTTTAAATAAAGGAATCCCCTATTTCGATCATTTTTCTCCTAGATTTTCCTCAATTCACTTGAAACATACTCAGCTCTCAGTGCCTTTCCGTTGAGTTTGAGTTTGAGGTGAGTTGACCAACAACCGTCGAAGTTCGTTGGCGGCGACAATCAATTTACCTGACGCCCGTGAAGAGCCCGGCTATAAAATTGGAGGGGTTTTGGCAGAGGGAGGGGGCTGGGAAAACGAGCAAGGTCCTGCTCCTGGTCCAGGACTCTCCATCGCCTGATAAATGAGAAAAGTTTTTAACGCCGCTCGCTCAGGTCGGCTCATTGGCATTTTTACGATGTCCCTGCGAAGGGGGGGGCGGCAGGAAATGTGGGTGGTTTTTTGGAAAATATGGGAAATTTTACAAGGGAAAAGGGAGAGAGAGGGAGAGAGAGAGAGCTGGGGCCAACGCGGACAAATAGGCAACAAATGAGACGAGCCTGGGATGCTTAATAGAAAAACTGAAGCGTATGGGAAAAAGGAACAATGTAAGTGGGAAATGTGGCAGTGTGGCAGTATGGCTGGGGTCCTGCTGCTGGTGAAAATTCGGTGGAAAACTGGGTGGTTCGGAGCTGGTCGAGCCGGGCACTTAAAACTTTTTAGCATGCAACCGCGAAACGTTGCAGCTGGCAAACTTTTTTCGGCTACCAAAAACAGAAGAAAAAAATCATAAAACACAACCCCACCGAAAGTGTGTGTGTGTGTGTGTGTGTGTGTGTGTATAAAAGGTGGCTGGGGACTGGTGTTCAGAGAGTGTGCCGGAGGGTTAACAACACCCCCGCTTTTCGGTGGGTTGTTCCTGGTCATCACCAAAGCCGCCTGTCAGCAATTAAAAGTACAGAGGAGGCAACTTATCGCCCTCCATTTGTGACATTAAAAATGTTCCTTTGGTAGTAACTATTTTACATTTCTTAATATTGGTATAAAAGAATAATATTTCCAATAAAAAATATAGTCAAGTTTTGATTTAAGAAGTAGTTTAGATATGCTTTAATTGAAGCTAAAGTATCCTTAGAGAAAATCAATCAAAACTTGTGTAGATCCGGATACTTATGATATTAAGATATATTGCAAATAAATATTTATTAAAATATTTATTCCCTGGCAGGGCATTATAATTTATAATTTTAGTATTATTCAAGTCAGAAGTTTGTGAATGGAGTGAAGGAGTCATTTCTGACCTTAAACATTATATAGATTCTTGATTCTTTCACAATCAATCTAAATATATATCTAAATAAATATCTAGAAAAGTTAACCCATTGTGTTTAATAAAAAAAAAATAGTGCAAAATGCCAGATAAATTCAAATTTTATGAAGATTTGGTAACATGACAAAAACAGAACAGATTGGCAACAATTTTCAGTATAGTTGGGTATAGTTTTTCAATCATAGTAGCACTTGAAACGAAGGCCACATTTCTTACTTGACGTCGAGCTATTTTTTCGTCATTCGTTCGCTCGGCCCTTCAGGTGAAGGATTTAAAAAAAAAACAATCCTAATAAAAAACCAGTGAAGTGAAAATCGGAAAACTAAGTGATAAAATGGGTCAGGTCCTGGAGAAGATTAATGTGTTTAATCGCGCGCCTGCAAGGGGCAATAATACCGCTCGTAACCCGGACAGGGTCACTTCTGGTTCCGCCGGAAATCGGCAATCGAACAATCTACGATTCCCGATGGTTCGCAGGTGAGCATTGCGATCCTTCATAAGACCTCCGAAGATTTGCATTTGTAGTTTGGTCTATTAGCTGCGTCCTCTACTAGAACCTTCTGCCATTGAATGCAGTTTTTCTTGCTGTTTTCGTTGACAGTCTTGGTTTTATTTTTACCCTTTGACATTTAGTCAAAGTGACAGCAGTGATTAATTTCTCTTATTATTATTTTTTTTTTACAGGCACTCGGAGGAAAATGTCGCAAATAAGCGTCGTGCCAGGGAGGGCGATAATAATGAAGCCACCATTATGTTGAGGGAGTTAGAATGCGAGTTTGAAGCCAATGCTGCCGACGCTGAAGCATTGGCTTTGGAGTTCTCTGAGTTCCCCTCACCTATTGGCAATGAGGAGGTCGAGTTAATATTGGAGTATTGCGAGTCTTCTGAGAGTGAAGGTAAGTGAAGGTAACTTTTCCAAATTCCACGATAGTAGCTAAAAAAACACGTTTTCTTTGGCTTCTACAGACGACGATGGAGAACTGAATGGGTATCCATCATCTAAAAATGATACGGACGAGGAGGATTCCACCGAAAGCGAAGAAGAAGCAGACGACGAGTCGGACTCCTCGGAGTCCTCGGATTCCTCGATACGCTCGGAACTCAATGCACTTTTGAACTCGGATTCCGAGTTGGACGAAGACTACGATGACGAAGAATTTTCCAGTGGATATATTACTCCATCAGATGCTTCCATCTCCAGTGAGGGTGACAACGAAGAGGTTGACGTGTCCGATGACTCAGACAACGACTACGAAGAAGTCACTGATGATGATGTCTAGGGATGTCTTCTTTATATAATTGTACACATTTCAATACAACGCATTTAAATAGAACGCATTTAAACTTTAAAGGATTTAAGCATTAAACTTTGAAGGATGTGCTTTTTTATAAAGTATATGATTCACAGGAAGTCAGATAAATCGAGCCTTAACTCAGGATCTTAATTTGCTTAAGAGAAGTATATCTCTCTGGAATAAATGCATATAATTTTCTACGATACCACACAGCTCTCAATTTCTTATGATGAATTGGAAAACTGCAAATCAGGGGCTTTTCTCTACTATTACCTATAATTTCGTAGTGGGGTTTATATATAGATATAAGGACTCCTCCCCTTCACAGACTTGATGGCTTGTCGCTGGATGAGTCCTGCATGAAACTCTGACAAAACCCAAAAAACAAACCGACAGGACAACTATATGTGGAGAGAGAAGTGAAGGCATCGTCTGACTTTTGACCGCGGGCGCAATTTTCTGTTGACCAAAATGCGGGCCAACAAAAGCGTGACAAAAAACGTGACCCAAAGTTTTTTCGGGGTTACGTTACTCAAAAAAAAAAAAATAGGAGAAAAATTAGGAAACTGTGGGGGAGATGCTGCGGTCTTTTGTGGCGGCTTTTGTGTCTGCTAACAAATTTCAATAAATTACAGTTACATTTGCCAAAGTCAGGCGGAGTGGCCTTCAGAGGCTGACTGCCACCCACTTTTAACCCCTACACTGTGCCTTTTTCTTTTTTTGCGTGTTGTATCCTTTGTGTCTGCGAATGGCGACTGCATAATTCAATTTGTGTTAAAGTTTTGTGAGTGCGTGGCGGGGAATTTTAGAAGCCGCCAAAGGGGGGCAGGGCAGGGCCTAACCCCTCATTACACACACATAGCACCCACACAACCCTCTCTCTCTCTCTCTTTTTGGCCCCCAAAAAAGGGACCAACTAATGCGGCACATAATTCAAACCAAAAATGCCAGAGAAATTGGAGCTGGAAAAGTGGTAGAGAAGAAATTTGGTACCAGTTTTGGGGAGCCGCCCAGGGGTTAATGGTCAAGTGGACACCGGAAAAAGCGGAAGTGGACAAACGGCGATTGCAGACGGAAGTCGTGATTCTAATTGCAATGTGAATGGGCATGTTGGAAATTTTAGTTTTTTATGTCACTCTCTAATTTATTTAACTTCCCCCGCTGGTCATATTATTTATGGTAAAACTTCTATTTAATAATTTCAACGATTTGCATAATTTTTAATTTATTTTCATATTAACAGAAGAAATGAATGAAAAATCAAAGAACCCATGTTTTTGGGTGGTAATCCTTAGGCTTATCATTCTCGGAAAAAATGACTCTTACTGTTTAATACATTTTCCTAACTACTCGTTTTTTATATGTCATTCGTTTATTCATTTATTTAACTATGTTCTTTAATTTTAAATAATCTGGACAATTCCAAATAAATTTCAACAAGAAATCAATAAACAATCAGAGTTTTTAAGAGGAAATCCTAAAGTTTGTCCTGCTCACAGATTTTTCTAGTTAAATCCTCTGTTTTACTTTATTATTCTATAATTTATTTAATTGTTAAATACTATGAAAAGTTTTAAATTAATTACATTAAAAAATCAGGGTTCTATCAGGGTTCTTTTAAGAAAAATCCTTCTGGAAGGCAACCCTCTTTCTGTCTCACAGAGTTTCCTTGCTCCTAGAATTTGTTTACTCTCTTTAAAAGTTTTAATTTACTTCATATTTTATTTAAATATTTTATTATTCAATTCTGAAGACTAACAAATTAATTACCAAAAGAAATCAATGCAAAATTAGAGTTCTTTAAAAAGAAACCTTAAGAATATTCTTTTAGCGCAAATCTCTGTTATTTTTCCTCGTTCTCACTTTTTAGAGCACTTAATTTATTAAATAAATTAATTTTATTTTTAAATAATTACCAAAAGAATTCAATGAGAGATCAGAGATTTAAGGAGGAAAACCCTTAGGATATCCCTACTGCCTTGCAGATGCTCCTTGATTCCACTGAACAAGTTCCCTGTATCTTTGAGCATTGATCTGGCTTCCAACCAACGTATTTCTTTCTTGGCCAACCGAAAATCGTGTGTTGGCTATAAATCAGGCTGGGAAAGGGATGTGTTTGGGGTAGGGGAAAAACGGGAGTGGGGTCTGGTGGTTGCGGAAAAGCGACTGATTACGTGGTTCAAAATCAGGACCCGGCCAAAAACGAAACTAACGATTTTACGCTACATTTGCTGCTCGTAGGAAATGGTGGAAGGATGCCGAAGCCCGGGGGAGGGGGTCAAAGGACATTGTCTGACCATAACCCCATGGCCATTGTTGTTGCCAGTGCTCTTGTTGTTGCTGGACATATTACATAGTTGAGTGCATTTATTTATTTGCTTGTATGTCAACCTGTTTGTCTCCCCTTTCGTTGGCTGCCCATTTCAATTTGTCCCCAAAAGGAAAATACGGGAGAATGGCGGGAAAAGCAGACCGACAAAAAAAGAAGGAAAAAGAAAATCCAACCGGACAGGAAGCAGCACCCAAAAACTGACCCCATTGATCCTGGCCAAGTTCCTGATTAACTTATTATGCTCATTTGATTGCTCGATTTAATTTGCCATTTCTTTGCCCGGGACTCTTCCTTTTCATCTCTCATTCAATTTTTCTCTTTTTTGGGTTGAAACGTTTTTCCCTTTTTTCTTCTCACCAACAACAACAATAATAACAAAAAAAAATTGAATTTCCTTTTGATGACTTTTCTGGGCCTGAACCAAGGGTCATTCCATTGTCGTTCTTTTTTTGGGGGGCCCAAAATTCATTTTGCATTGTCCGAGAAAATTTAATTTCCAAAAATTAATTTTCATTTTTATTTCGGCCAATTTATACATATAATATCAGCATACACAATTATTTGTATGAAATATGAGTTCAAACAAATCCAAATTGCCTGGCCTACTGCCACTATTGTGTATCCTTTGATTTGATTTTAAAATTTTAATTTCATATTTCATATATATGCGCATATGTATAAATATATTTGTTGTTGCTGATTGCAAAATTCTTTTGTCAATTTCGCTGGACTACAACTTTTGTCAAATGAAAATGGAAAGCAAAGCCTTTATCAAACGGCTAAAACTTGATTGTTTTCTGTTATTATATTCAATTATTATGTTCCGAATAAAGTATGAAATATTTAGCTGCTGTTTAGCATTGCACTTTTCGCTTATTATTAATTGAAGCCCCATTTTTAAATCCTTGCAGGGAATTATAATTATAGTCAGAAGCCAAATTATTATGTCAAGGATTCATTTCCGACTCTATAAACCATATATAATCTTGATCATATACAATTTTAAAGGGGTTGCATCGCAACATTTTCAATAATCTAAAAACGACTTTTATTTTAAGAATTATTATTTTTGGGGTATGCTGATTTATTAAGCTTGAAAAACTTAATCCAGGCCCGCTTTCCGAATTGAAATTAATGCATTTTTGATATAGTTATGTTTGCAAACTTTGATTGTCCCAAAAAAATATTTAAAAATGTATGAAATAAATATGTCGATTTCAAGAATCTTGCTTAGGAAAATATCATTTTAATCAGTGAAGGAGTCATTTCCCACCCTATAAATCATATATATTCTTGATCAGCACTAACAGGCGAATCTTCCTAGCCATGTCGGAAGGGCAATTTTTTCAAACAAAAGATAAGGGGTTACATCATTAAAATTAGGAAAAATCGACAAAAATTTTGATTTTTTAAAATGTTATATCGAGTATGCAGATTTATTAACCCTAAAAAAACTAACAGAGGAGTGGTTTCTAAAATAAAGTTAATGCATTTTTGGCTTTGTTATGAAGTTTTAAAAACTTTGATTTTAACAGAAAAATAGCTATGTAATAATAAAGTTAAATATTGATTGAAAGAAAGCGAATATTTTAAATTTTACGATTAGATCCTAATTCAATTAAAAACTGCAAAGGTATAGAAATTTCGGCTTCTTGATCTGAGTTTCCTTTCCTAAGTAGATTTTAAATTTTCCTTAGTAGTTTATATTTTTTATTATTTAACAAATTCAATGGTTTATAAATTAATTTTCCTTTCTTTTCATTCCCTTTTTTATCCATAGGGCTTCAGCTATCTCTAGTGTTTATAATTACTTATTATATATTACCCTTTTGTACGCTGACATTTCCAACCACTCTTGTTTTTGTTTATTTTTCTTTTTTTGCATTTATATGTATATATTTTTTGTATTGGTTTTTTTATGCGATGCGTAAATCAAATGCTGATTAAGTGCGATTTTTCGCGCATAAATTAAATCAGAATTATTGGGCGACAACAAGAAGCAGCGTTTGTCAGCGCCCACGCTCTGTGGTTTGGGCCATTGCGAATTGGTTACGGCCAGGCCAATTCGGGCCAATTCGTTGCCATGGCACTCGAAAGGACCGCAGGCCAGGAGGAGAATACAGAGGGGAGTGGAGGCTTTATTATAGCCAGTAGTTGCCACTGTGTGCATAAGCCGATTGATCTCATTGGCGTTGCCTACTTTTTGGGGCCAGGCAAAGCCTTAATTTTGATCAATTTTAAATGGTTTTTTTTACCAATTTAAGCTTGCTTTTTACTTGATTTTTAATGTAATATTATATTTAATAATATATATAGCCTTTATGATATATTAAATATCACAGAAAAAGGCTTATTTACGTGATATAACTTGGAAATAATAATATTTCCCAATATTATAATGCATAAATACATATTACATATATTAAATAATATAGTGTACTTCCCCATCTGATTGATATTTCTCACTAATTCTTATAATTTCCCATTCAATTTAGTTTGTCAGCTTCGTTTTTGATTTTGATTTTGTTCTGCGTGATTTTCAATCGGTGGCGGTGCAACATGGCGTATGCTTATCAAATTAACGAATTACCCGCCTCTACAATGGGTCCCTTCCTGCAGCTCTGTCGTCCTGTGAGGTTTCCCCGATTTCCCCCCCCCACATTTCCCGGAGCCTATGCGGTTGCAATAAATGATAATCGTGCCCGGGAACCGGGGGTAAACCTCTCCCCAACCCCCACACCCTCATTTTATGTGGAGGAGAGGCCTTGTCGCTTCCTTTTTGATGGTCGCTGCGGCTGCGTTGACCAAAAGTCGTAAATTCCGTTGTTGCCATTTGCCGCAGAAAAACAGCTGAGGGGTGGGGGAGGGCTAGCCGGGTTGGTGGCAGCAACAATGCAAACAATGCCACAAATGCACAAAATACCCTTCCCAACCGCCCGCCGCCGTCGTCCACCGCTCAACGTTCGACATAATTAAAAGCGCGCGCCGTTTACGCAATTAATGAACTCTCGCCAAATTAGGCTGCGGCAGAGCGCAGACAAGCAAAATGGCCAGGACACAGGGACACAGAGACAGGAGCAGGACGAGGAGGAGGAGGAGGAGCAGGACCAGCGGCAATGGCAGTGGCAGTGGCAGTAGCAGGACCCAAATGATAGGGTGAAGGGTGAGGATGAGGGAGTCGAGTCGAGTCCACTGAGCGAACACAAGTACACTTTAAGAAATGTATCCTAAATGTGCTTATTACGTGGAATCAATTTCAATTTAAATCAAGAACTAAGGAGGTTTCCTATATCATCTAGAATAATCCATAAATAACTAACAATAACAAATAACAAGAAAGCCTTCAAAATGTGTCTCACAGTAAGGGAAAATGAACTTTCAAATACACCCAATTCGGTGTTAAATTGTATACCTTTTACTATGTAAGATATTCTTCCCTAATTTTGATTAATTGTTATACAAGATTTTTTACTCAAGCATAACAAATATTTTTCCTACCTAACAAAACTAATATGAAACTTCGGAGGCACCAAAGTCTGCGTAAAACTTTATATTTTAGCATAACTAAGATGTTACCTAATTTTGATAAAGTATTAATTAAAGATTTATTACCGAAACATTAAATATATTTCTCGCATATTTTCCTAGCTAACTTTCGAATTTTAAAAATTATTCAGTTCCCTTAAACTATACACCAAGCATTTCCTATTTGTAATCAAAAATCATTTTAATTTCCCCCCTATTTACTGCAATATAAATTATTAATTTTTAATGATTTGTAAAATGTTCAAGTAATTGCTTTAAATTCTGCTATGACAGAAATTGACACAGAAATAGTTGAAATAAATTAAAGTGCCAACAATTCCCTAGAGTGGGGCAGTTCTAGTTCTCTAAATGGTAACCAGGCTTTTTATCTGAATTAATAAATATATTAAGTCCCTTTAAAGTATCAACAAGTATCTAAAAAAATTGTTAATCCTAATAAATAAAGTCTAGTAAAATTAATTCAAAACACTTACCATTTATGCAGCACCTCTGATTATTATTATATTTAAATAAATATTTCCGTTGCTAAAATAAAATAAAATGATATATTTCCTTGCTAGAAATTAAATCAAAATGATAATGCAATACCTGTATTCATCAGTTTTTTTCTCTCTGTGTACAAACGCACTCACACAAAGACACCGGGCTTGTGGCTTTCGCGGTCGACGCGGGCGATGGCAATGGAGCTGCAAAAACCGCGCCGCTTTTTGCCGCATTGCAGGAGGCGAACCTTTGTTGCACAAAATGTGAGGCGGCAGTCGGCAGTCGGCCAGCGGCCAGGGGTTTTCCACTTTTCCAGTAAAAGCCAAAAGGGATACCGGAGCGGGGAGCGGGGAGCGGGGGAGCCACCAGAGTCTCCGTTCGGAACGACCAAACGGTAGCCGCATTAATGGCCGCCAGTAAAACATCACCTAAGCCTTGTCACCACTTCTCCTGCCACACACACGCACACACACATGGGTATTTTCCAAAGGAAAAACGTTTAAATTATAAATTTTGATTTAAAAAATTTGTTAAGATTTTTTTTAGAGTTTGGAAATTACTTTATTTTAATATAAATACTTTCAAAAATTAGTGTGTTACTCGACTTTGTTTGTTTATTAAATTCGTATAAAAGAGACTTTAATCCGCACCATAATTTAAAACAATAGTTATTTATATTTATTTACCAAATCATTGGTTGTATTTGTCTTTTATTGATATTATTCTGAATCGATTTAAATCAAAGAAAGAAACACACACACAGCAAAATGTAAACAAAAGTGTGTCATACTTCAATTCCATTTAATATTTCATCTTCTCACTTTTTTTTATACTTACAATTAGGCGAAAAAAATGTATTACTATATTTATATTGTTGTTTTCTGCTTATGTTGTTTACTTCAAATGTACATCAGTTTTACATTATGTTTATGAAGTGAATAAAAGAAAAGAACTAAAGCGGTGGCGGTGTAGAAGAAGAAGGAGGCACAAAACCAAGGGTTAAACGCGAAACACAAAAGTTAATAAATAAGAGAGAGAGGAAAAAAAAATCATAATAATATGTAAATATGTATAATTGAAATGCCTGGCAATAAACAAAACGATTCATATCGTTTTAAATTGTTTAAATTTCCTTTTTCTCGGCGGGCGTTTGAGTTTGAGTTTGCGTTTGCGTTTGCGTTGCCGTCGCAGTGGAAGTTGTCGGTGAGAGTTTGGTGCCACTCGACAGATCCAAATCACTGGCACTGTTCTGTAATGAGGAAATTGCGGAATAAAAACATAAATATGTGGATATGTGTATAAATAACAGGTGGGTAATGGTGGCTACCCGCTGCTCTCAGCAGGTGACCATATGGAATGGGTTAATGTGCCGCAGGCTACACTTCAACTTTCATTATAAATCATTAAATAGTATGAACATTTTTTAAAGCCTATTTCATTTATATATATAAACTATTGCTAGATAAACCCTGGCTTAATCGACTTGTCCGGTGATAAAGGTAATGTAGAACGTACTCTTTAATCAAAAGCTAAACCCACAAAACTTGTACTTTCTACATTTTTTCTTTTTAATTTAAAATTTGAACGAACTATGCTTGAAAAAGATGTTGTCTAACATCACGAATTTTGAATGAAAATTATAATACACAGAATTTCAATATAATTTTTTAACCATATTTAAACGAATGATTGTGCCAAGTCTTCAATGGGGAGGGGGAAAGCAAGCTAAATTCAGTGCGGATTAGCCCCTTGCCTTCCTTCTATATTCCTCAATGGCCAGCGTAACTAGTCTTTTGATTGCGGTTTGTGGAAATGATGACATCATGCGAACTCCATTGCCAATCAATCCATCCCTCATTTGACGCAGCTGCTTAATGCTCCATTCCCCGCCAGCCTCAATTCTTACCTTCATCTCCTGTCGCAGCTTCATTGACTTGCCCATGCTCTGCAGGCGATAACGCTCCTTGGCCCTCTCCCGGATCTTCTCGGGCACCACCCACAAGGTGGTGGCCATATTCCCGACGAACAGCAAAAGGAACAGGCCGGCCATCACGGACACATGCCATGGTGCCTCCGGGCTATTGGCCAGCTTGTAGAGTGTCCAGGCATTGTATGCCTGGAATCCATAGCCAATGAACAGGAAAGGCAGCAGGAAGCTTAGTCCACGCCACATCCATGAGTGGAAGCCCTCAATGGTGATGTCCATGTTGTGACGCTCCCCAAGGGCCTTTAGACGGTAGAGGAGACCTTTTTGGTAACCGAACTGCAGGTATTGGACGATGCCTGCAAAGTTGGAGATGAAAGATGAAGATGGAAATTGCAATGAAACATTATTTCAAAGAGTATTATTTTTCCTATAAGAGAGCACTATTTAAATGTTGTGGAGCCACTCACTGATGTAGACATTAAAGTACATGAACTGCATCCGGAAGATCTGCCAATGCTCGCCTTGTGGCCAAACCAGAAGCACACCGGCGGCCACCGTCGAGATGAAGTGATGGGCACGCCACCAGCCCTTAATCCTGGAACCGTTCACCTTCAGGATGGACTCGCGGATCGTTAGGGTACAATAGTACCATACCAGCAGGAATATGAAGGCCAGCTCCAGGGCTCTGCATGCAAATAAAATAAGGAAAAATAAAAATGGAAAAATTAAAGAGGGGAATGAGAAATGGAAGATGGATTTCGGTGGGGAGTGGCCTCCACCACTCACCTGTAGTTGAATATCAAATTGAAGAAGGCCATTATCAGTCCAATTACGTTGAGTATTAATTTAAACTTTTCATAGTCATCTTTATAGCGAACTTTGTCGTTTCTGTTCAGAATCGAGACATTCACATCGCCCAAGATAATCTGCAAAAGGGAGACAGGGATGAAGACACCAAGAGAAAGAGAGAAAGAAAGTGGAGAGGTCACAAGTGGAATTTAGTGGGCGGACCAGGTCAACTGGCAGTCCAGTCGAGTCAACTTCAAGTCTCAAGTCCATAACAAGACGCGCAAATTGTCGCGCAGGAAAGAACTTTTTACTTTACTTATTTCCAGAGTTTCCACTTGGCCAAAAGTTTTTCATTTTTTTATTTTTATGAAGAGAAAAGACCCAAAGTAGGAGAAGGAGCAGCTTCCAGAAGGAGGAACCAGTGGCCAGTGTTAAGCTGGACTTCTATTTTGAACTCACCTGCAAGTATCGGCCGGATTTTGCTGGCAAGGATTGCTCTATCTCATGGAGTTGCGCCTTGCGCTTCAAGGTCATCTTTTGCAGTTCATCGACCTTCTCTTTGTCCTCCGCAGGAATGGGACCCTTAGACCTAGAATAATTGGTAAAGAAAAGCTTAAATAAATACATCAAAAACAGGGTATTGTGCTACGAAATTCTTGGAATTATATTTAAAATCAAATCAAATTTGAATGGACTTTTAGAACTTTTGAATTGTAAGAAAATTATAGAAAATACAACCTCCTTTATCATGTTTTAAAACTCCTATACAATCGATTAGATAATGAGAGATCTAAACTACCGTATCCATATCAGTGGACACATATTTTCTCAATCAGTTTTCCAAGAATGGCATTTAGACTTTGTTCTGTTTATTTTTTATTGTTTTATTGATTGGGCGAATGACACGAGCTTGTTATTTTTTATTTTTCCAATATTGTTATGTAATTTATTCCCGTGTAATTATTTGTTTATTGAACGAGAAGACCTAATAGGCAACCCACTAACTACAAGACCAATTTTCAGCGTCAAAGTTCAATTTAGATGTACATAATTTATGGCCAAAGTGGGCGGGGTTTATAGAGGAGTACATATATATACATATAGTACAAATATGTGGTCAATTAACGGTCGCCATAAACGATGGGTTCCAGTAACATCTATATGGCGCTTCAAAAGGTAAATTTATTATGGCACGACGGCCATTAATCAGGTCGCTTGGACATTTTTTATGTTTTATTTTTAAACAACCTCTAATACCCCGTTGAAAACCGATAGTAAGATAACGTCAGGGCCCCAAAACCAAACCGAATCGAACAAAAATCAAGCGATACTACACAAATGTATAAACATATAATCAAAGCAACCGACAAAGTGGTCCGATTATAATAGTTTCCGCTCGATTTGCCTATGGGAATATGGGATGATGACTGGACAATCTTTCCGAGATTATATACCCTAAGATAATGGGAAATTTCCATGGCATTAAGTACCGAAATTTAAATAGTAATAACATTTAGATTGCGATTTGGGGGTTTACTTTAAAGTTATATAAATTATAGTATTCAAGCAAATAAATTTAATATTAAAATTGAGAGTCAAACAATCTTTTTGTAAAATATTTAAGGTAAGCCCTAAAAATACAATGTCACAAACAGTAAACAATTTATAAGTGCCCTTGTGAACTTGTATACTATATATCTGTCCCATACCTCTAACTCTGTAATTACAAATTACCTGAAATATGTGGACAGTAATAGTATCTATACAAAATCACGCTTACTCAACTCTGTTTGATCATTAGCGGGGTTAGAAAAAATATTTGAATGGCCAGTGAAGCTTGGAAACTGAAAACGATGATGCTAAATGCATTTCAAGCTGAAAAACTCACACAGTTTCTTCGCCAAATACAAATACAAAACACAAAAAGTTAGGAGTCACGCATTTCCGTACTTCACACTCGAAAAAATATTTAAAATCATAATATTAACAATAAAATTATTAATAAATTCCCGAGGAAAGTATATTTTTCCTCCCTTCATGCAAATATGTATTAAATTTTATTTTATTTTTAAATTCCCTTGTAAAAAATAAAGGTGCGTATCATATTATTATTATTAAAGAGTTTTGTTTTTACATTTATGAAAATCGGAATACTAATAAATGCCAGAGAAACGATTGTTAAGTATAGAAGATCGGTAAGAAAATATGATCAGTAATTAACTCTGATCAGTAAGTATCTATGACCATTAAGTAAATCTGAACAGAAAGTATCTATGAGCAGTAAGTAACTCTGATCAGTAAGTATCTATGAGCAGTAAGTAGCTCTGAACAGTAAGTATCTATGAGCAGTAAGAAACTCTGATCAGTAAATATCTATTAGCAGTAAGTATCTATGAGCAGTAAATAACTCTGATTAGTAAGTATCTATGACCAGTAAGTAACTCTGAACAGTAAGTATCTATGACCAGTAAGTAACTCTGATCAGTAAGTATTTATGAGGAGTAAATAACTCTGATTAGTAAGTATCTATGACCAGTGAGTTATTCTGAACAGCACGTATCTATGAGCAGTAAGCAACTCTGATCAGTAAGTATCTATGAGCAGTAAGTAACTCTGATCAGTAAGTAACTCTGATCAGTAAGTATCTATGACCCGTAAGTAACTCTGATCAGTAAGTATCTATGACCATTAAGTAGCTCTGAACAATAAGTATCTATGAGCAGTAAGTAACTCTGATTAGTAAGTATCTATGAGCAGTAAGTAACTCTGATCAGTAAGTATCTATGACCCGTAAGTAACTCTGAACAGTAAGTATCTATGAGCAGTAAGAAACTCTGATCAGTAAGTATTTATGACCAGTAAGTAGCTCTGAACAGTAAGTATCTATTAGCAGTAACTATTTATGACCAGTAAGTAGCTCTGAATAGTAGGTATCTATGAGCAGTAAGTATCAATGACCATTAAGTAACTCTGAACACAAAATATCTATGAGCAGTAAATAACTCTGATTAGTAAATATCTATGACCAGTAAGTAACTCTGAACACTGATAAACAATGACTTGCAACTTTTGTAACACAACACATAGCTGAGACGTGGCTGGAAGCAGTCACTTCGATCCGGGGATGTTAGAACAAGTTGGGAATCATATGCACAGGTGCGCGAAATTTGTTTTGGAACAAAGAGCAAGATATTTAAATAAAACTATGGAGTTATTCTTCGATGTAATTTTTCTGGTATATAAGTCAAGCATAGTGAATCGGTGGACTATATATATACATATATATAGCTACCATAGGAACAATCGGACGATGTATAGAACACTGATCAGTAATTAACTATGACCAGTAAGTAACTCTGAACAGCACGCATCTATGAGCAGTAAGTAGCTCTGAACAGTAAGTATCTATGAGCAGTAACTATTTATGACCAGTAAGTAGCTCTGAACAGTAAGTATCTATGAGCAGTAAGTAACTCTGATCAGTAGGTATTTATGAGGAGTAAATAACTCTGATTAGTAAATATCTATGACCAGTGAGTTATTCTGAACAGCACGTATCTATGAGCAGTAAGCAACTCTGATCAGTAAGTATCTATGAGCAGTAAGTAACTCTGATCAGTAAGTAACTCTGATCAGTAAGTATCTATGACCCGTATGTAACTCTGATCAGTAAGTATCTATGAGCAGTAAGAAACTCTGATCAGTAAGTATTTATGACCAGTAAGTAGCTTTGAACAGTAAGTATCTATGAGCAGTAACTATTTATGACCAGTAAGTAGCTCTGAACAGTAAGTATCTATGAGCAGTAAGTATCAATGACCATTAAGTAACTCTGAACACAAAATATCTATGAGCAGTAAATAACTCTGATTAGTAAATATCTATGACCAGTAAGTAACTCTGATCAGTAGGTATTTATGAGGAGTAAATAACTCTGATTAGTAAATATCTATGACCAGTGAGTTATTCTGAACAGCACGTATCTATGAGCAGTAAGCAACTCTGATCAGTAAGTATCTATGAGCAGTAAGTAACTCTGATCAGTAAGTAACTCTGATCAGTAAGTATCTATGACCCGTAAGTAACTCTGAACAGTAAGTATCTATGAGCAGTAAGAAACTCTGATCAGTAAGTATTTATGACCAGTAAGTAGCTCTGAACAGTAAGTATCTATGAGCAGTAACTATTTATGCCCAGTAAGTAGCTCTGAACAGTAAGTATCTATGAGCAGTAAGTATCAATGACCATTAAGTAACTCTGAACACAAAATATCTATGAGCAGTAAATAACTCTGATTAGTAAGTATCTATGACCAGTAAGTAACTCTGATCAGTAGGTATTTATGAGGAGTAAATAACTCTGATTAGTAAATATCTATGACCAGTGAGTTATTCTGAACAGCACGTATCTATGAGCAGTAAGCAACTCTGATCAGTAAGTATCTATGAGCAGTAAGTAACTCTGATCAGTAAGTAACTCTGATCAGTAAGTATCTATGACCCGTAAGTAACTCTGATCAGTAAGTATCTATGACCCGTAAGTATCTCTGAACAGTAAGTATCTATGAGCAGTAAGAAACTCTGATCAGTAAGTATTTATGACCAGTAAGTAGCTCTGAACAGTAAGTATCTATGAGCAGTAACTATTTATGACCAGTAAGTAGCTCTGAACAGTAAGTATCTATGAGCAGTAAGTATCAATGACCATTAAGTAACTCTGAACACAAAATATCTATGAGCAGTAAATAACTCTGATTAGTAAATATCTATGACCAGTAAGTAACTCTGAACACTGATAAACAATGACTTGCAACTTTTGTAACACAACACATAGCTGAGACGTGGCTGGAAGCAGTCACTTCGTTCCAGGGATGTTAGAACAAGTTGGGAATCATATGCACAGGTGCGCGAAATTTGTTTTGGAACAAAGAGCAAGATATTTAAATAAAACTATGGAGTTATTCTTCGATGTAATTTTTCTAGTACATAAGTCGAAGCATAGCGAATCGGTGGACTATATATATACATATATATAGCTACCATAGGAACAATCGGACGATTTATAGAACTATGATCAGTAATTAACTATGACCAGTAAGTAACTCTGAACAGCACGTATCTATGAGCAATAAGTAACTCTGATATCGAAGTTAGCTTCCTTTCTTTTTAAAGACTAGATTTAAATTTGGAAATATTATAAATAACCGTATTGGATCAAAGTCGTTATTGAAGCTATCTAAAAAATGTTTATAACGGTTAAAAATTTTATAAAACTACATACTTTTTCGTAATAACTTTCATAAATTATTTCAAGCGTATCTCTGTTATTTATTAATATTTTTTATTCCGAATTTTGGAAAGTGTACAAAAGCAACAGTAGCAAGCAGAAGTCAAGGGAAGTAACTACCATTTGCAAGTCTCAATTAAAATCCATTTGACTTTGCTAAAAAGACAAAAAAGAATACAACAAACAAATGCAAAAACAACTAAGAAAACTGTAAACAAATGAGAAGCAAAGCGTATCTAACAGGTTCCCTGAGTAAGATACTCAGACGCGGGATCAGTGGCAAACAATATGGAAATCGCTTGATTTAAGCTATTACTCAGCGGATTGCATAATTTATGGTATGTGACTAACTAAATGCGTTCCACGAGGTCGCGTAGTTCATCAAACAGATTGCAACGTGACGACAGCAAACACGCGACCGTTAAATAAACAACAAAATTGAGACAATAAACTCGCGAGCTAAGTCATTTTTATATAAAATAATAAACAAACCAGCAAAAGCGAATCGGCGCCTAATAAAAGTGTCAAGAATCAGATGTTTCATCATCGGCATGCACAATGTATATTGAGTATTTATTTATATAGTCCACATCCGAGATGAGCGAGTGTTTAAAAAACGCGCCACTGCAATCCGAGCGGAAAACAAATAAAAAACAAAAAACAAACACAACACACAAGAAAAAATAAATAAAAATATTGCAAAGCTCAAATCTAAAAGGCAAGCACAGTGCACTGCAGTGGTTCAAAGTTGAGAGGTGGTTTGCATACTCATTTAAGCCCTAGGTCACTTCAAGCTTTAGCTCTTTAAAATAAAGAAATAATAAAAACAATAAAAATTATACAAATATTTTAGTTTAGTTACAGTTTAAGTAACTGTTATAAAAAAAAATATTTCTTGTCTAACTAAGCTTTAAATATTCGCATTATTTTTTGAATCATTATTTATTGACATTTTTAAATCACAATTTTTTCGACAGATCAAATTTTAAAAATGAATAACTAAGGCAAAAATTAATTCATTTCACTTCAGAAAGTTTTCGTACGTTAATTAAAAAAACAATTTTGTCAATTTTTGAAAATTTTAACGATGTAACCCCTTATCTATTTTTGAAAAATGTTTAATACATTTTTTTTACGCCTGAGATGGCTTGAGAGATTCCCCTGTTGATGCTGATTAAAAATATATATCATTTATATGATCGGAAATGACTGCTTCATCGAATTGCAAGCTTCCGAGTAAAATGAAATACCCTACAAGTGTATACATTTATAGAACTATATAACCTTTCAAATATAAATTAATTTAATGAAAAAGTAAAGCGCGTAAATGTGATTTGAACTATTTGAGCGTGGCTTTGACCCACTGTGCACATACAATTATATTATTGTATTTGCCTGGATTGCGTGTTGCCCATGTCTGTGAATGTATCTGTATCTGTATCTGCGTCGGCCTCTGTGCCTCTGATTGCCCCTTACCGCGGTAAGTGTGCGAGTGTGCACCTGTGTGTGATTATGGCGGAGGGTCAAGGACAGCCACTTTGCTGGTCAGCTGTTTAGTTTTCAGTTTAACCCTTGAGTGAAGAATATAGATACATTGTAACCTGGATTTAAAATTCAACAATTAGTACAATAAACCAAAGTCGCAAATCAAATTTAAATACATTTAAAAATACTTTACACCTTTTGGTTAAGAATTCAAAAATCATTGTAATTGTTAATATATTTAAAATAAAATTGATATTTCCTGATATTTGGTTAAAAGTTATGAAAAACAGCATTTAATATTTGATATTTAGGTAATACTTTTAACAAAAAAAAAGTTAACAATTAAAAATCTGTCTAAATTTTAATATTTTTAAGTAAGATTTGTACTCTGATATTTGGTTAAAAGTTATGAAAAACAAATTTAACATTTGATATTTAGGTAATACTTTTAACCCAAAAATTAAGCAATCTTTAAAGTAAGTAAACAGCATTTAATATTTGGCAATTAGTCGAAAAACGGAAATGACTATGTTTGACCCCCTCGCTCACATAGCGTTTAATTTGCAGTCTACTATAAAAAAATAGGTATTTTTTATATTTATTTTTTTTTCACGACCGTATCGCTAAGTAGGTATTTCTTTTTTTTATTTTTTTAATGAGTTTGCGACCAATAAAACGCAGAACCGAAGAGAAGTACTATACACCTGGAAAAATATATAAGCGAAGAGCAAAGTCTGGGGCTTGACTTTATCAGAAGTTTTATCATCGGACGAAAGAAAACAGTTGTAAAACACAGAAACACCGTTGTTCCCATGCGATTCAGCCGGTTCTGTTCTGTTCTGCTTTGGAACTACTGATAAGGACTGATTACCCGCCTGACTAATTGCCGTAGGCAAGACTTGTGTGTTACCCCCTTTCCCGCTTATCGGGAGCAAGTGCTCGAGTGCTGAAATGCGTGTGTTCGTACGATTAGACTGCTCTAATTGATTGAAGTCAAATTCCAATCGGACAAGCAAAAAGCACACACACGGGCACACACACAAATTCGATTGTCGAGTGAAAAATGCCCCCGATTTTCAAGGTGTATTGTTTTGCAATATAGTTGGAAATGCCGCTGTACAAAGATCGCTTATTATTAATAAAGCAATACTCTATAGCTACCCATATGTCGTCTAAAAATCTGCGTAATTTCAAGAATTTCTACAAGCTCTGGAAAAGGGTACTGTACCCTCAGTACTCTCGCTTATGTAATACTTTTTTTCTTTTCTTTTTTTTTTAAATAATCGGGGTTGCTGACCCTTTCTGTACTCACTGTCGCAGAGATGCTGTAATCTGGTTCATGCGATACCGCTGATGCTTGATCTCGTTGAAGCATATTTGTTGGTGGCTGTGCAGCTGTTCCAGCAGCTCAATGTACCGCCTGTTGCAGCTCTGAAAGCGAAATTAAATAAATAAAATAATGCCTGAAGGGTGGGAATTTTAATTTGAGTAAATAAAAGCTCGTCGAAAGCACTTAGCCACCAAAAGGGACAAGGGCTTAGGTTTCGGGGGTTCAATTTTCGATTTATCTTGGGGGAAACTGGGATACCCTAACATTTATATTAGGAGTTATGTATTTTGTGCTTTTATATACATTGTATTACTTAAAAACAGTTTTATATTATTATTTTTTAATTTCCTAAAGTTTAAAATAAATACCAAGTTCTGATTTTTATAATTTTTTAAATTGGGTTTCAAGTTTGATTGATAAATATCGAATTAAATAGTTTTAGTTGGAATAAATATTATTATATATTTTTCTCAGAGACTTTGATACATTTTTGTAAGAAATAAATTGTAAACTTTTTCAATAAATTCTTTCTAATAAAAAAACTATAAAACAATCATAACTAATCACTTAAATAGTAACATTTCAAAAAGCTAGAAAAATAAAAAAAAAATACTAATGGTACCAAATGTATAAACAAATTGCGAAACTTCCAGGCTTTTTGCAAAGGAAAGGGTAATTGGCGGACGCATTATGCAGACGGCAGAAAACTGCTGGCGAATGAGCAGCTGTTTTTTTTCTCTTTCAAGGTGAAAGCGACATAAATATACATACATACTTATATGCATGGATATTTATGTATGCATTTCAGTGTGTTTACGCTTATTTTTGGTGACTTTGGCTTTTTGTTTTGGTATTTTGATGCGTGTTTATTTACTCATTGTTTATAATCTTACTTACCTCCAGTTCGGCATACTCCTTGTTGAGCTCCTCCCACTCATTTTTCAGCGAATCGATATTCATTATTATTATTGTTGTTTATAGCGGCTTTTCCTGCCGTCCACGCTTTGCGAATCGCCTTTTTCCCCGTTGTACTTTATTCAACTTCTTCCGTTTAATTTATTTATTGTATGTTGTTGTGGTTGTATGCAACAGCTGGCAAAGAAGAAGAGGAGGGAAGGTTTTTTTGAGGTTAGGATAGCGGCCGGTGAAAAATCAATTTAATTGTAGTAAGTGCGCGAATTTGTTATTGTTAATTTCCCAACATCAGCTACACAGAGACACACACGCACATCCGCACCACAGATATTTCTCTCCCGCAGCCACACACACACACACGTTGCCACGTTCAACGCAAAACATTAACAAAAAAAAAAGAACAACTCTTTAAATAACAACAACCGTAATTTGCTTTTGCACTTGGAAAATTGACGGGGCAAAAGCAAGCAAAGAAACAAAAGGAAAATCTAAATTATTGCCGCGCGTTTTCTCTTCGTAATTGTGTTTTTTGTTTGCTTTCGGTTTCGTTTAAATTCTTTAAAAATACATTTTTCCCGCTGGTTGAGCAACGTTTGTTCGTTCTTTCTGTTCCGTTTTGTATTTTCTTGAGCAAAATGCAAAAAGCAGAGGGCCGGAAAGGTGCTGAGAAGGGGAGAGACGAGGCGACGGGAGAAACAACCGACTGCTGCCGACGACTAATATTTTGTTATTAACTATTTCCGTTGCACTTTTGTTTTAAATACTTTGGCACAAACGCACAAAATACAACACAAAAAACCGAAAACAACAACAAACCACACACACGCGCTCTCTCTTCTCTCTAATAGCGGCGGCGAACAAAAAGCGAAAAGCAAACGCAAAGAGAGAGCGCCAGAGAGCGAGCTTCCGAACCAGTTCCATGCAGAGCACATTTTGCATATAGACGAAATTTACTTTAGTACAATGTTTAACTATGTGGTGAATCAATGAACAACACGAACATTAAATGTAGTTAATAAACTACATTACAAAGAACTTAGCCATTGGAAGAATTTTGGTACTTACCTTTAATAAATCGATGAACACATGTTTTTGTTGCTTGGTTGCGACGGCTGCCTTCTGTGAACTGGATCGGTTGGAACCAAGCTGCTCCTCTCCCAGCTTCGACCGAAATCACCAGAGTGGTGAGAGAGCGTGCTTTTTTTTCGCTTTGTACAAGAGCGAACGAAGTGAGCAATGGTGAGGTGAATTTGTTGTTGTGGTGTGTGTCCGCAAAGGGCGCCAAGTTGAAAATGAGTTTGAATGAATGAATTGGTTGATATACAAAAATATATATATACACACGTTCGTCTAAACTAAAGTTCGTTCTGTTGTAATTTTGACATACAAATAGTGTGTATCATGATTTATGGGAAATGTAACAATATATTCCCTTAACAAATCTTATTTATATAAATCATGTCGCTAATTTCTTTTTATTGGCAAAATGGCATTATAATTGATTTTGTGTGGGAGTAAACAATAAACACAATAGTAATTATGGTAAAAAAAACACTTTAACTATGGCGGCTCATCCTACTCCTTGCGCCTGGCCCGAAGCCTCAAAGCCAAATAGGCAAACCCACGGAAACCCACAATTAGAATTGCCAAACCCACATAGTCCAGCGGCAGATCGGCGGCCGAGAAGTTAAGGGTCTCCAGGATGACCTTGCCGGAACTGGGACACGTCGTGTTCGACGAGGTGCAGCTGATCTCGCCCGGCTCAACGTCCGCCCACTGATTGATCAGCAGACCCTCGTTGGCATACCGGAACCAGGACAGATACGATAGCCACTTGAGGTAAACCGGAACCGAACCCGAGTTCAGGAAGAAGCCGCCAAACAGCAGGAAGGGTATAATCACCGGCGGACCCACAGACAAGGCCATCGAGGTCGAGGAGCTGGCACAGGAAATCAAATAGCCAAAGGAAGTGGACACATTCGCCACCAGGGTCACCAGGGCCAAACAGTTGAAGAAGTGCAGCACTCCGGCCCGTAAACCAATCATAGGATAAGCAATGGCTGTAAATACCAGGGGCACAGTAAGGAAGAGTGGCAGTTCGGCGATAGTTTTGCCCAGAAAGTAAGTATCGCAGCGATATAGGCGACTCCGGGCCTCTCGCATAAAAACAGGCAGTTCGGAGGTGAACACCTATTAATTAATTGAAATTAATAATTAATTAATTTGTTTAGAAGATATTTAAGATCTTAAATACTCACATTAATCGTGGCAAAAACGTTCTGGAAGGTCATATTTGTCAGGAATAGGAAGATGGCTCCATTGATGTTCATCACGCCCACTTGGGTCAGTTGTTGGCCCAAAAAGATCAAACCAATTAAGATGGCCACCATCTGCAAGGATATTAGATGACTTAGACACTTGGTATATAATTGTTTATCATATTGTTAAATGTATTTTATTAACTTTATGTCTGTTGTTACAATTATAAAGCCTAAACTTAAGCAGCAAAACTAACAAACTGAAAAGATTTTAAGGGAATATAACTTTAACTTTTAACTTTCATTGTTAAAACGTATTTCCAGCTAATTTTGTAATATTAAATTTAGAAATAATGCTTTGATAAATTTGTGCTTCAGTATTTAATTTAATTTTCTTTTCCTTTCACTAGAATATGGCTCTAATATCCTTCATATTCCTCCCTATTGCCGCCACTCACCGTTGTCTGGATGAGCCGCACTTTGACAAGCAGTGGCTCCTTGAGCACCGATAGCCAGGATCGCCACAGGACTGCTCGGAATTGCATAAACCAGGTGGCCTTGTAGGTGAAGCCATTCTCCGGCTGCTCCAGTGGCTGCTGAAGACTCTTGGTGGCCAGCAGCTGCTCCATATCTCGGGCCACTTTGCTTATGGCAAAATTATCGCAGATTTTGGCAATACGTTCACGGGATTCAATCTCCCGACCGGGAACCACAGCCAAAACCTGGACATAGAAGTCTGCCGGATTGTAATTCGTAGGACACTGGGCTCCAACGCTGCAAAATAAATGTTTAAATATTAATTACAGGAATTTAAATGTGTTCCTAAGGGTTTAAAGCTATACTCACTAGGAGAAGAAATCCACAGCCTCGCTGGGCGTTCCCAAAAAGGCCACCCTGCCCTCGGCCATCAGTAGAATCTTATCGAACAACTCAAATAACTCAGAGGACGGCTGGTGAATGGTCAGAATGACGGTCTTGCCCTTCTGCGACAGCTTCTTCAGCACCTGGACAACGCTGTGAGCAGTAAATGAATCCAATCCAGAGGTGGGCTCATCACAGATCAGCAACGGTGGATCGGTGAGTGCCTCCGAGGCAAAGGCCAGACGCTTTCTCTCGCCACCGGATAAACCTTTGACCCTGCCCGGCACTCCAATGATCGTGTGCTGGCACTTGCTTAGGGATAGCTCCTGGATCACCTGATCCACACGGGCCACACGCTGTTTGTAGCTCAGATGCCTCGGCATTCTGACCATGGCCTGAAAGATCAGATGCTCTCGGGCAGTGAGCGAGCCAATGAATAGATCATCCTGCTGGACATAGGCGCACCTGGCCTGCATCTCCTTGGCATCCACCGGCTGGCCATTGAGCAATCGCATTCCCGAGGGAGACACCTGAATGCCCTGCGGAGATCTAAAGGCCAAAGCATTCAAGAGAGTGGTCTTGCCAGCTCCAGAGCTACCCATCACGGCCAGCAGTTCACCGGGATAGGCCACGCCGCAAACTGGAATCAGAAATATTTACTAAATACAACTTAAATTACAAATTAGCAAACTCACCGTTCTTCAGCAGATGCTTCCTGGGCGCCGGAATGTGTCGTTCGTTGCAAAAGAGTCCTCGCGTCCGGTTGACCAGCTGTCGCCAGCCGGAACCTGGTTGGTTCACAGCCCCAAAAATGTCCAGGTTATGCCAGGCGTAGGTGAGATTCTCCGCCAGCTGGCCATTGGTGGATCCAGAACCGGGTCCATCCGGTGGACTGGGTGGTCGCAGAGTGCCATAGTTCTTTGCCTGTCCAAAGCCCTGACCAATGCAGCTCTGCGAAGCTCCACCGCCTTCAGCCTACATCAGTTATGGAATAAATAAAAATAAAATTCAATATAGGTTTACACTTGGAGCATAGACATGATTTAAAATTAAAGGGAAATTATATAAAAATATGAGAAATATATGCTAAAAATATTTGTCAATCTAATAGTTATTCTGTAGATTTTTAAGTATTTATATGTAATTAATAATATTAGTTACTTAAGTAATTCATTCTGCTTAAAATATCTGACTTCAAAAGGATTTGAAAAGGACTTCAGTGTATTAGTTATTCTGTAGATTTATAATTAATTATTTGTAATTAAAGTCAGCAACTTAAATAATTCCCTTGGCTTGATATATATACAGATTAATGGTTGTAAGAAATCGAACTTGAAAAGGTCTACTCCTGGCTTTAAAAAGCTGTATCATACTGATGGGTATAGTTTATTAATTATTTAATTTAATTCTAGAAATATTTTGAATAAATGTTTTAATAAAATTAACTTATAAATAAGATATTTCTTAATTTCCCTGATAACCTATTATTTCGAGTGTGTCTTAAAAAGGTTGCAAAGAGAAAAACTTTTTAATTTCACGGCGTTCGTCCATAAAAATGAAGGCGTTTGTGCATAAATCTTGGCTAGCCGGGCTAATCCCTGCTCCAGCTCCTGCTCCTGCTCCCAATCCCTATCTCTACCAACTTGCCCACCCGCCGTGTCCTCTTCCGACGGCGGCGACCCATCTGTTTAATAAAAATGCCCAAAAGTCCCGAGTAGGCGAGGCCTATTTAAAATGTGCAAATTAGGGCAGGCCATAAGCCGCAGCCGGCTGACGACGTCCTTGAGGAGGAGGAGGAGGAGGAGGAGGAGAAGGAGTCCAGAGTCCGGATTGGGTGTCCTTGTGGGCTCACCATGTTGCCACTTCATAAGACAATTGCGAGTGTAAATCGCCGGCATCTTCGGCTTTTGTTTTCGTTGGGCTTTGAGCCCCATCAGCTTTGTTTTTATTAAATATAAAACTTTTAAGGACACTTGGCCATATAAATGAGCCGAAATCCTTATGAATGAGTTGAGTAAAGTGCGTATTTTTGGGCCCTTTCGAGTAGTTTGCCATCAGCGCAATGAATATTTACTACCAAAAGAAAGTGGACCAATTCACTCAATTTACGACTATAAATCCGAATGGATGGGATTTGTGTTAGGAGGGAATTTTCTAGGATTACGATATTTAACAACATTGAATATTTTTTGATTTTTCGGGTTAAACCTTTAAATAAATAATATAACTGGGAAAATAGTTGATGTTATCAAAAGAAATACATTTTCTTAGGTTAGTTTTAGAAATTTATATATAAAGTATAGATATTATTGATAATCATATAAAGCGTAGAACGATTTACTATAAACTTACTTATAATATAATATGTATACATATATCTACTTACTTACTATCATAACAAAGCTTAAAATATTCATATTCTCTGAATCTAAATTTTTTAATATTGGACAATTTTTTGCCTAAATCAAAATTTAAAAAACTCATAACTCAGTCAAAAATGCATTAATTTTGCTTCGGAAAACGTTTCTATGTTAGTTTTTAGTACGTTAATAAATCTGCATACTCAATATAAAATTAAAAAAATTTAATATTTGTACTTTTTTTTATTAATTATAATAATCTAAACCCTTAACAATTTTTGAAAAAACTGACAAACAATTTTGTTTCCTTTCTTTATACATAGAAAGATTCGCCTGTTGATGCTGATTAAGAATATATATGATTTATAGGGTCAGAAATGAATCCTTCACATAATTACAAGCCTTATAAAATTATAATACAAATTATTTGTATTTATTTTAGCGATATTTTCGTTAGACATAGAATGAGTTTATTAGCTTTTCTATCAACATGAACTTCCATTTTAGCAACTCTCTAGTGAAATCTTTAATCTCAAGTTAATCGGAAAAGTCGGCTCAAGCTTAAGTCGGATGGAGGATTAGGAGGCCCGAAGGGCGGAGGGAGTGATGGCAATTGCCAAACCCACTCCGTCGCCAGCTTTTCCGCCCAGGTGGGGCTTCCCTTTCATAAAGACGGTAACCGAAGACGCTTGCGGTAGGGTCCACTTACCCACTCCCCCGCACATATTTTCATTTTCATTTTCATTTTCATAAACAATTTTCTGTTTTCCATTTGTGGGGTTTCCTGCCATCGCGTCGGCCTGCGGCCAAAGCATAAATAACAGGGATCCACTAATTGGCGTCCAGGCAAAAATACAAAAAAATATTAAAAAATAAACTTACAAAAAAATGAAAGGAGAAATATGTACAAAAAAAAGAAGACAAAATGATGGCCACAATATGGAAAACATTTTATCCGCCGCGCTGCTCTCGTAATAATTTGTATAAATAATCATAAAAAATTAAGCAACAAAAAATGCTAGCAATGAGGAAAGCAAAATCCTTGGCAGGAGATTCAAATAAAAAGCTGGCATTCAATAAGAGCCAGGAGAAAATATTAAGAAATAATGTCCACCTAGCACTCAGCGCCCCCAGCTTCTAAGTACAGTGAAGTCTGGAGCTGAAGGAAGGTGTTTCATAAGTTTTAAAATTAATGAGGAAATTTTACATTATTAAGTAAATATTCAAATTAAGTTCTTTGAATTGAAATGTATCTTATGGACATTTTTTATGTTGTGTACAACCAATTAATCTGTTTATTATTTAAAAAATATTGTTTTTTGAAGAGTAAAGTATACATTAAAGAATATATTTTGAAGGGTTTTCAGGACAGATTTAACAGATACTTATTCTTTGAATATATTGCAAATATAGACTCTTAAAATAATATTAAATTTACAAAGGAATAAATATATAGAAATATAAATAAATAAATATATAACAAATATATATAAATTTTAGGGAAGTATCACAAAACATTTACTATATAATAGAAGTAGTTTAAAGTAGTTAAAATTTATACGTAAGAAACCTGGTTAATTCTAATTCTAATTTTTAAATTAATTTAATTTTAAATTAAATTTATTTAATATAAATTGTATATTCTTTAGCCTTTCTTGGCTAGTATTCTCTGTACTTCTGCTGCGCTGCTTTCACCACCGATTCATCTAGAATCTCCTGTCCAGTTTTTTGGGCTGACTTTTGCTTACACAAAAATATACATATATACATATAAATAATAATAAAAAATCGGTTGACGTCGCGAGGTGGACGCGAAAAAATGTAATATCCGTTACGGACTCAGAAGGAGAGAGAGACGGAGGAAGAAAGGTAGAAAGAGAAAGGAAGACGAACAGCTGGGTGCAAAGGAGATGGACGGTGTCTCGGAGACTCAGGACCTGGCACAAAAAAAAAATTGTTTTCACAACAAATGAGGCCGAAAAATGTTATTAAAAAGTTTCCTTCTCCCAATCCGCCTCCCACAGCCTCCTCCTCCTCCTTCACGGGTTCTTATCTCCCGTCTTTCGGTTTATTCTCTTACTTTTCCCTTATTTTCCTTGTTGCCAAAGATGCTACATTTCATATTTATTTAATTTTTTTCGCTTACTTCTTACTTTGCGTGCTATTTTTGAATTACTTATGAAGGAATTTCGCGAGAGCGAAAGAGATGGGGCTATAGAGTGCGTTTCCCACGCCAGATGGCGCTTCGACAGGACGAAGGACGAGGGACGAGGGACTCAGGCAGGCGGCAGGAGCCAGAAATGTTTTTTGATGAACTTGACAAATTGAAATGACTGAATGAAGAAGCGACTCAATTTGTTGTGTTTCCTCTCTTATTTTCTTTTTTTTATAAATATATGTATATATTTTTTATTTTGTATTTTCATTTTAATTTGGTCGAGTGCTTGAGTGAGTGGCTAATGAGTGCACTCAAAAGTCATTCACATTGATTGCAACAAAACAAAACAAAATTATACGGTGCATGTTTCCCAATAAATTGCCAAAAAATGAATAAAATTTAAAAACAATTGAGCTCACAGACAAAGGAATATTAAACTAGATAGGTAAATTAAGTCAATTATAAATAAAGGTTGTTATCTATATTGAAAAAATAAATATCTGTCTAAAATATGAAATAAACTAAAAGGAAAATGGCATTCAAAATAAATTTGATCATTTAAATAAAAAATGAAATAATCTAAGATGGTAAAAATACAATTTCAAAGAGTTTAAATGAATAAATTGCCTATACATTTATTTGTTTAAATAAATAATAATAAAATAAAAACAACAATACTATTATTCTGATACTAATGTGATAGAGTATTTAGGTATTTAAGGTTATTTTTAAGTCGTTTTAATATATTTCTTGAAAGATTCGGTTAATTTCTGATATATAATAATTGTAAAAAAATTTAAATATTATTTATTTATTTCTTTTCATATAAACAATGTATATATAAACCTTTATAAAAGATATTATTGAAATCCAGCAAATAAATTATTTGTAGCCAGCTCATACAGTTTTTTGATTTTTAAATTTGACTTGTATTTAATTTATATTTCCTGTGCCTTTTTTCAAGACATTTTCGAGAAAGACCCTTGGAGGCAGGAAATAATTCCTTAATTATATATACAAAGGTGCTGAGGTGCTAAGATTTCAAAGTGCGATACAACAGGCACTAGTTTACAGAGATATATGTACATATGTATGTATCATACAAGCAAATAGAAGATATCAGATGCTGAACCCAAAGCGTGGGCCTAGTCAAATAATGACCCAGATAAGACCAGATTGTACAATATCAAGCAGCGATCTTTCAGATGCAGATACATATACAGATATAGATAGAGAGACAGCTAAAGATACAGATACAGTTTCAGAAACAGAAACAGATACGGCATCTTGTCTGCCTCCGAGATATAGACACTCAGCAATGTTGTTTGGCCAACTTAAGCCGATAGATAATCCAGCCTACCTTCCACATACCTCACCTCTGTATCTCACATTTTTGGCTATGCTTCAGTGAGTACTTTTCGTCGAGTGTATCTTATGGTGGAAATAATACAAATTAAGTGAAGGAGAGGAGAAAATAATGCATACTTTTATACCCTTGAGGGGTATTTCAATTTAATCAGAAGCTCGTAATCATGTGAAGGAGTCATTTCCGATCCTATAAATCATATATATTCTTGATCAGAATCAACAGGAAAATCTTTCTAGCCATCTTCGGCAAAGAAAAAAATTGTTTAATTTTTCCAAAATTTTGTAAGGGGTAACATTGTTAAAATTTTCAAACATTTTAAAAATTCGCAATTTTTTTAAAATGTTAAATGGAGACTGCAGATTTATTAACATAGGAAAGCAATTCGAATTGAAATTAACGCATTTTGGCTTAGTAAGGGATTTTTAATTGTCATTAAAAACATCGATTTAAATGAGAACCTTTTAAGCTTAGTAATTATCGATTTCTGATTCGATCCTGTAATTCAATTAAAAAGTTTAAAGCTATATAAACTTAGGTTGCCCGAAGTTAGTTTCCTTTCTTGTTGATAAATATAAATATTTAAAGAGTGTATGGACTTGATATTGAAAATTAAATTATTTAGAAACCATTAGAAAATAAATGTACATTTCCATTTTTATACCCTTGAAGGGTCTTTTCAATTTCAGTCAGAAGTTTAAAACGCAGTGAAGGAGTCTTTTTCGACCGTATAAATCATATATATTCTTGATCAGGCGAATCTTTCTATGTATGAAGGAAGTAAACAATTTTTTTCTTTAAATTTTTTAAAAATTTTATAAGAGGTAACTTCTTAAAAATTTTATGCACAACTTTGTAAATGAATGTTTCAGAATATAGGTGTAGTTTTTAGATCATTAAAAAAGGCATCATAAGAAGCAATAATCAAGCATTAATGTTTGATTTTCCTAAGAATTTAAATATTTATTGGACCATTTTCATTAGTTTTTTTATTTTATTATTCATTTAATTAATAACCAGCACATGCCTTATTCGCTTTCCTAGTCTTTTAATATTATTTATTCTTGCGCAATTTGCGGTTTGCGAATGTTCTCACGATCCGAAACCATATGGTACCAATGGTGCAATCACTCTTAAACTCATACTCAGAGCTTCCTATAGATAATACTCACATTATTCAAATGCTCGGCGGATGGGTGTTTACTGCCACCGCGAATTAACAACTCCTGATCCTCTTGACCCATCGTTGTTCTATTTCTGATCTATTTCCTGATGTATTCCCTTCCTTCTTATTTTCCAACGGATTTCTCCAAGGGCGAGAGAGCACTCGAAAAAATACGGCAGTGTTTTATATATTTATATAATTAATTGGATGGAGTAAACCGTTCAGAGCCTCGTCACGAAACCGCTGGCAAAATGCAACTGAAGGCGGACATTGACGTTGGTTAATGCGACAACAGTGGCTAGAGAGGCAGATAGAGATGGGACGTGCAGCCAGAGAAAGAGATGGGGAGAACCGCAACTCTGACTTTTGAGTGAAATGACATTTTGAGTGTATGAGTGAGAGTGAGCGAGGAGAGAGATAGTAGGAGAAACGAGAAGGGAATAGCACTTGATATACCTTAGAATAGGTGATCTTGCCTTAAGAGAATATATCGGTGTAATATCTTTGGTTTTTGGAGATTTTATAAAGCTGTACTTAAGATTTTTATAAAGGTTTATAAAAATAATTTCAAAATCTGAATTTTAAAATGTTGAAAAATAATTGTGTTACCTTAGGTAATACCATTGTTTTTGGGGGTATCTCTGTAGCCTCTTTCTCTCTCTTAGAATATAGATTAGACTGAGATGCTGTCAGACACCTTCTTATCTCTATCACAGTTCACCTTCTTTTCCCCCATTGTTTGTTAATCCGTCACATTTCGGGAGTATACACTGTACTGTGCATGATTTATCAAACGAATAGCGACTGTTGGTGATGCTTAACCCCTGAGTTCCCCCCAAAATCCCCCAGCCGTTGTTGTCATCGTTAACACTGAACTCCGTTTGCCAGCTTCCGGTCTCTGTCCATCGCCAGCTGTCCGGACATTATCAATCTTCATCATCATCATCATCGCCATACGGAGTTTGACAGAGGCTGGGACCGATTCCTGGCTGAACTGAGTGAAGGTGAGGCGAGAGCCTGTCAATATCATTTTCATCGTTTTTCACGGCCAATAAGGTAACAGGTTAACCAGCAGATGACTCTCCGTGATTCTCTTAGTAAAGTAACTATGCTTTCTTATGTGTTTTAAATCAATTAAGAAGGTATAAGTAATTTTAATATATAGGAAATTGAATCTGGCTAACAGTTTTCTGAAATGGAAGTACAATTAATTTTGAAAAATAAGTTAATCCAGTTTGATGCTGCTCATATATTTCTATCTCGCTTACATTCAACTACGATGGTTCGAAACACAGCTATATTTCTATCCTGCTCATATTTTTCTGTGATGATTCTTTAATTTGCTATTATATTAATGTTTTTAAAATTAATTTTCAGAGTCTAGAAATCTTATTATTATTCTTTACTTACTTCTCATTCAAAATTAAAGACTTCAATCAACAAGTTCACGCAGACTAATCTATATCGACTTAAAAAACCTATGTATAATCCCATAGAAACACCTTATAAATATCTTTGATTTGATTTACAAATACCCATCAAGAATTGCTGGTTGGCTGTAATCTAGTTTGAGCCCAATTTAAAGAAGCTCAAAAAGCCGCACAAGGCGAGCGCTGTGTTCGAGTTGTGAGGGATTTTCTTTGTGAGCCGATCAACATTAAGCGGAAAAAGCAGACAACAATGCCAGCTAGTGTCTCTATCTCTCTCTCCCTCTCTCTCTCTCTTTGTCCCTCTCGCTCTCTTTTGCTCATTTTCGCTCACTAAATCGCACTCCGACTGGGGTTTTTCTTTCAGTGACACTTCTGGGGCTTCCCCGACATGCTGAGTTTGAGTGAGGCTTAAAGCGGGTTTTGCTCCTGTTAAAACTGTCTTGGCCATCGTTTACTCACTCTAAATGCTATAAACTTTTCTTTACACTTAACAATTGATTGTCACTCGGTTGTCGCTTTTGTTTTTATATATTTTTTTGCATCGTACTAAAAGAAAAGATATGGCATGGGGCTTAAAACCGATTATAAAATGCTCTTAAAGCTTTAGGATTTACATTAATGGTTGGTTTAAATAAATAATAACATTAATTGTAGCAAGGGAAATGTAATACTGAGATTAAGTTGTTATTCTTTATCAGATAAAATAAATTATAATAAAGTAGGGTGGTTTATTTAACAATTCTGTGTACCCTGTAAAAAGAGAGAGTAAATCTAGTAACTCAATCTAAAGGGTAGAAAGTTTCTTGTCTTTCTTTTGCTCTTAGTTTTTTATTTTCAAACAAAGCTCATACAGGTAAATCTCTGGAAAGTGAAGGCTGACTTAACCCCCGTCCTGTCTTTAACCCATGCAAATTATTGACGCGGACAGCGGGTTCAATAAATCTGTGTGAATGTGTGAGTGTATGTGTTGGTGGCGAAACTTTTCGCTAATCAGACAGCTTTCTAGTTCATTGCATTGCCGAAACCCCCCTTGGGCCACGCCTCTGTCCGTGACACACCGCCTCCGACGCCCACTTTCATCGGAGATGCCATAGAGATGGCCTAAACCGATGGTTATTTATACGATATATTGCATTTTCGATTAATATATCGAGGGAGATATATTTATTTATTGATAAGACAAAAAGGAATTGGGTAAAAAATGTTTGAAGTTCAACTCTAAGCTCTAATAGAAATATTTAAATATTTATGAACTCAATTATTAGATAGATGTACAATTCTTAATATATTGATAAAGATGAATCGATCAATCGATAATTATTTTTCTAATTTTCCTGACACATCCTTAGCTGTAATTGCCAAGTAAATCAGCTCTGCCATTTGCCAAGCCCGAAAAGTCTATTCCCTGGCTAAGGAGAAAATGGAGTGTGGGCTTCTGTTTTTTAAGAGGAGTTTCCCCAAAAAAGGGTAAGAGGACATTATATTCCGCCATTCGGCGGAGGATAATGTAATAGGGGGGTAAGGGCTGCGGCGGCTGCCAAAGTTTGGGCAACTTTTAAAGAGAGGAATGTGTTATGGGTTCGGGTCACATAGTTAGTTAGTCCCGCAACTTCAAACCAAATGACTGCAGAAGGGGCACGGCCATGGAGTTAAACGTTTGTCAGCCATCGAGGTGGAGATTTATGGGGGCTTTTTTGGTGGCGCAAAGTTTTCCCAAAGATTTTCTCAGGTTCCACTGGCCCTAAATTAGCCGAGATCTTTGAGCGAAGTTTTGCCAGATTTGTTACGAAGCAAATGTCCAGCTCAGAAAGATTTTGGTAAACAAATACGCAAAAGCTTTTGATAATGGAACATCCTTATTGAATTTATATATATAGTATATTTCCGCATCAATCTGAGCTTTAAAACTCTTTTCAGATGCAAAGTAAACTCTGTGTTGTCACTGTTTTTTTCCTCTTCTAAAATACTTGCACACTTTTTGTTCCATTTTTCACGCCCTCATCTTGCTTTTATGTATCATCAATTCGATGCTTCCGCTTCCTTCGGCTGATGAATTTGTTTATGCAAAGGACACAAAGGATGCGACTGGGATAGGATGGGGGCCATACCAGTACGGAACCAATTTCAACTTCATGGCAATCACTTCAATCTCGTTCTCGCCTAGTTGGTAGCCATGCAATAAAAACCGAGTGAGATCGAGTCCTTCAAATATTTGGAGGATATATAAAGGGTACACATATATGTGTATGAAATATATGCCCTTTTGAAGGGTTCTTTTGAGTCCTGATTGAAAGTTGAAATAGCAAAATATAGTTAGTACCTGAAAATTATAAGCTGTATTTTTTAAACCTATTTTTTAGGAATTTTTTAACAAGTCAAGTGCTTAAATTGTTGGGGAAAATGTGCAAATGTGTGCAAATTTTTTTGTTGTCTATATATTTATATTGTTAAATTTGACTTCCGCTTCCTATTGGAGGACACTCACAGCGAGGGGGCACTGTGTAGAGGATACAACTTAGAGATGGAGAGGCCTATGCGAAGCGGAAGTCGCCATTCGCTTACAGCACGCGCGCGTCTCATAAAAACGTATCAAAACATCCGCTGGGAGTCATAAAAATTTTGCACTCAGACTTTGCTTTTCGCCCGGTTTTTCCCATCCAACACCTCCCCCCCCACATTTCCTTTTTCCCTCCTTCAGCTTCCTGATTTTTCCTGATGCAGTTTCTAACTTTTTCTCTCTCTCTCTCTCTCTCTCTCTCTTTACTCTTGGTGTGCCTTTTCCACGTGGGACTACGCGGCGTATGTGTAATCTAATAAAATTTGCTGTTTATGTGGCAACAGGCTCTACTTGTACTCTCTGTTCCTTTCCCTCTTTTGCTCTCTCTCTCTTTCTCTGTCTCTCTATGTCCTTCTCTTTCTGCCTGGCTAACTAGCTTCCTTCAAGTGCTTTCCTTTCACCCCTTTTCCCCGCTTCTTGGCCAAGTTTATCCACGTTTTTTTGTTGTAGCCTCAATCGTGCAACTGTTGCTCTGCTTTATGGCACAATGGCTGAGGATTCAGGACTCTGGAATGCGAGTTAACTGCTGCAAATGCTTGTTGCTGGAGATGGGCTTTATTTTAGCGTGAAATATCCTTGAGAAATATCGAAATTATCTCTGTTTTCTCGGTTTCTAACTCTACCTCTCTGTCTCTCTTTAAACCTTTCTCTATTTCTCTATCTCTCGCTTTTTCTTAATCTCTATCTCTATCTATCCGTATGTCTATCTCTTTCTGTGCATCTCTAGAGATATCTATTTCTCTCTATCTCTACAAATATCTCTTTCTCTCAAGTTTTCTCAGTTTCTATCTCTACCTCTCTGTCTCTCTTTCTTCCTTTATCTATTTCTCTATCTCTCGCTCTTTCTTAATCTCTATCTCTATCTATCCGTATGTCCGTATCCTTCTGTGGATCTCTACAGGTATCTCTTTCTCTCTATCTCTCTTTATATCTACAGATATCTCTTTCTCTAAAGTTTAACCTTAAGTTTCCTTAAGTTTACTAAGACAAAAGTCAGCTTGAGTCCCAAGAAAATATTTTTTTGTGTCAAGGTAGTTTATAATAAATATATAGCTGACAAATATACATATATTTATAACGACTATAAAAATTATATTTATTAATTTCAAAGTAAAAACCATATTTACTTTACTCTAAAGATTTTCTAAGTTAATTGTCAAATCACAGCTTGAAGCTCTTTTTAAATAATTCAATATCACATAATTTCAACTTAAATTTTCCCCCCTAATACCATAACA